TCGACTATAAAAATTTAACCAAATAAAGTTCATATATCATATAATAATATGAATCAAAAATATCAACTTTAGTTGGTAGGGCCCCGTAAGGTGATTTTAATAGCTTAGCCCCCATATATCTAATTTAGGCGGGGATTTCGGTCAGAAAATGATATAGGTCTAACTGCAATCGCAAATTCATGTCATAAATTAGAAAGTCTAAATATTTCTAAACACACAGAATTTTCTGAAATATCAATTTGTAATATTATTCGTTCTTGCCTAAAGCTCTGACAACTTGATCTTAGCTATTGTGTAATTACTGATATAACTATCAAAGAAATTGCTAGATCATGTCTTAATTTAAAGTATCTCGATTTGGAAGGGTGTTATAATATTAGCAAAGAAGCTATAGATCAGCTAAATCCAAATATACACGTTGAGAATTTTGTGACGCCTCTTGATCTCTTTGAAATGGTTAAAAATTATCTTACACAGAACAACGTTACCAGTAGACAGATTTTAGCTCAGAGCCTTTTAGATCTAAGTATGCGAGGTAATCAGAATTCAGTTCTATCTCAGATGCGCCGGCGACTTAGAGCTAGTGAAAGAATATTAGCCCCAGAATGGTGGTACTCTACCGATCTAACTAATCCAGAGCAGTGATCTTCAGCTCAGAAGATTTTGCTAGGCCACAACCATCAAGTCAGTTATTTTTTACTTTGTTATAATAAATTAGATATATTAACATAACTATAATACAGGCCATGGGCAATATAGCATAAGTCGATCAATCTGATATAGAAAAGTTCCGATGTGAGATAGAAAAGGTAGATAAAGTAGCATTTCCATTACAATTTGATAGCTCTGTAAGCGAATACATTAAAATGATAAAGTTATATGCTATAGGTTATGGCAAGGATTTAAATGATATAGACATTAAAATGAAATTCATTTGTGGATTATCACCTGTCAATGAAAAGCGTGTGCATGAGTTTGGGATTAAAAAACCTTTGTCTGAAATATTCGAACATTTACTTAAGCTTTCTTCCAAAGCTACATGCCCGGAATTTGATCATTAGCCCAGAGTGGTAATCCTCAGCTCAGAAGAATTTGCTGAGCCATACATAGCACCTTCGACCAGATTGTGCGACAAAAAAAAAATATAGATTAGCTAACCTGTTCTAGACATGGACACTGTCTGGTGCTAGATGGATTTTTGACGAATATTTCGTGCAATTGTTGAGGAAAGACCTTCAGAAATAATGGAAGTCCTTCTCCGGTAAAATAAAACATTTTTACCCCTTATCGATGAATTTCTGTATTAGCACACTTGGAACATCTTCTAAGGGACTGTGAAACTCCTCAAACTTTTGGAGATATACTCTTGCATTTTTATCGGCCTCTTCTGCCCTTTCTTGGTTAGAATAACCAACAATACCAAGCTCTTCTTGAATTGCTATTATATCTTCTTCCAAATACATAAGCAAATTAAATATCTCCCCCAATGAAATATCTGTAAAAGCTTCATTGCTTTGATATTCTACTTCTAGAACAGGATTACCATCAATATTGAGATTCTCTTGTATCAGTATTAAATCCCCTACCAATTCTAACAACAATTCGTACGAATCAGCAAGTGTTTTTCCCATGAGCTCAGAATCTGGAGGCACTACCAACTGATTTATATTCCCACCAATACCGAGTTTTTCCTGAATATCTATTATATCCTTCTTTCTATATAAAACAGTCCATATAATTGAGCAAGTGTTTCGGAATTATTTGCTATGATTGCTATAATAAAGTAATATATTTAATAAGAAAATCTTGTTTCCGGAATATTGATCATCAACCGGAGTGATGATCTTCAGCTCAGAAGAATTTGCTGAGCCATGCACAGCGCCTTCGGCTAGATTATGTGACAAAAATAGGCTGATCACATAATAGGTCTGTGTGACATTTTCACATATTAATTTCGCATATATATTCGCTAACTAGTACCTCTATTTTTTTCCCAAACAAACATGAGAAAAATGTGAAAGGAGGTCTACATGCAACACAGGACCTTCCCTACAAGTAAATAGTGCCGGTAAAAGCATATGTTATGAAAGGCTGTAGGACTTGCAATTCTGAGATCGCCAGGCGTAAAACCAACTATATGTCTTTTCGGTAGATCTCCATTGTGAAAAAGGTATGAGATTCCATTTGCATGTGCTTTCATAGAGCTCTTGGCATCAGACGACAATGCTAATCACTATTTTTTTATCTCTTTAACTTTTTTTCCGACAAGATATAAAGCATGTAGGGTATGTGGAAGTTCAGCCAACTTCTTCGGCTTGGCGCTCCTGTGAAAATTTTTAAGGTATGTATATATCAGAAGGGATCCCTCCAGGATCAGTTATATATGTATAGGAACGAAAATTTCTCACCATAGGCTTATTACCGATAGATAACAAGAAGCAAGATATCTACCACCAATAGTAGCAATATTATAAGCCTCAACCTCCGTTTCCATAATAGTCAAAATAGAAATGTAATTTTCGTGATCGAGGTTTCCAAGAACGACTTTGTTTCTGTTATTGCGGATAGAGTTAGGGCCATATTAGCGCCTCATCTTCCAGTCCGCCCTCATAACTTTCATCTTCAACAAATTTATCCAACCAGTATACAAAGAAGACGTATGCAACCAGAGAATGTGATTTCTGTTTATTTTCCTGAGAATCCGGATGAAGATATGATTCATATTTTTGTCTACCCTCCCCTTTCCCCTAAATAATAATTTCTACATCATGTATTAGCGAATTTTTCGCAATTTTTATGTATTGTAAGGCCAGTTACCGGCAACGATTTATTTCATAAATAAAGTATAATTTTACCAATACATCGAGAAAGTGGGTCACGTGTAATGATGTGGTTCCAAAAGGACCATGCAATGCCTGTGCTACATAAAAACCTATATTAACGCCCAGTATTTTCTTTCCCGAACAGAAATAAATTTTATCTCACTCCAGAACGTAACACTATTTTTTTTTTTTTTTTTATCCGAGCCAATATTATTATAAAAGTACTATGTCTACCTCAACAGCTGAACATGACTCTTACTTGGTTGAGAACTGGGATACGGAAACCCTTATCGATTTTTTGAAAGAGCAAAACCTCAAGCTCGACGATGATGACTTGGGAATACTTCGCAAGAAAAAAATTAACAGCCTCTCCTTTCTTGAGATGACAGAAGAAAAGTTTATGCAGGACGGATTAGAAAGAGGTCCCACAATATTACTTGCAAAAGAGGTCCAAACCCTCAAAGAAAAGCTGAAACATGCGTTCTTCTCATACAAAAATTTGAAAGAAGTGTTGGCGAAATATGGCATAAACTCCAATTGTACGGATACTATCCCGATTTTTTTACTATAAACCCACAAAATTCAAGACACTGATAAGCACTTTGAGCATTGCATAGCGGAGATTTTAATCAGGCTAAAAAATTATGGGTCTTTGATCGTGGATAGCTTGAAAGTCATGCGCAATGAGTATTGTCGTAGCAATTCATCATATCGCAATCAATATTACAAAATATTCTACAGGAGAAGAACTCAGCATGAGGCCTGAATATGAATTAATGAGTGATAAAAGCATGGGACAGATTGATTTTGCAATTAAGGTAATGGAATAATTTCTTGGCATTTTTCTTTGAGTATATACTAATACTATACTTGCGTTTCAGAAAGCCGAGAATCTTATTTGTGTCACTGAGAACAAACCAGAGTGAAATCTAATCAAGAGTTTAGCTCAGAATATCAAACAGTTAGAGAGTTCATGCCAAATGAATATAAGAAAATGGAAGCGGAAAGACAATGATGATTTTGATTATCTGTATGGTATTGTTACTACAGCTCGGAACTGGCACTTCTTGCTCTATACTCCGGAAAAATCTCACAAGATGGTAAATTACCATTTAGCATCGAATTTTCTGAAGATGCTTTGGATAAAAAATCCGAAGAATATCAAACATTACATAATGGCATGAAAAAAGTGTTGGGTGTAGTAGTTGGTTTATTAAAGGATAGGGCATGTGCAGAAGACGATTCACCCTCAAAGAAAAAGGCTAGAATAGAGAATATCGTTCAAAAAAATAAGCATGTATAATAGAAACTTTATGTATCATGAGCAATGTTTCAAACTATGTATTTATTTTTTCATGTATTAATAAAAATTTTCTTGGTAAAACCGAGATCAGGAAAATCACGTGATCATTTTTTTTAGCCGATTTTGAATATTTATATACAGTATAGTAGTAACTGATTATATCGTGTAACAGTTATCTATAAATGTCGTCATTATCATGTGATAAAACTATATTTATAAATACACGTTTTTTTTTCAATAAATATTTCTGCTCTGTGTCGCTACTAATATATATAAACATCTCTCTTTAACGCTAAACATTTCTCTCAACAAAATGAATGGTAATGGTAATGTCGGTGGTAACGTCGGTGGTAACGGTAACGTAGGTAAGTAAGATTTTAGTGTATGTAGCAGTTTTCAAGCTTATTAATGGCCATTACTGTCATTTCAGTACAACTATCACCGGAGCAACAAAAAGTTCTCGATAGTTTGAATCCGAGGCAAAGAAGGATGTATGATGCTTATGATGCTACGCCAGGAAAAGTTCGTTATCTAGAAGGAATTTTAGAAGATCGTAAAAAATCGGTACATTTATTAATATTAAAATGGTTATTTTATTTTGTTATACTTCACACTTACACTGACAAGTTCTTTCGTCGGTTTCTATTCCCTATGAAACCATACAGGAAGTCGGATGGGAACTAATGACTCTTTCAATTTACACAATAACCACTATTGTTGTTACTTTTGTAAATGCACGATATTTTAATAGTGAAGATTCGACAAAAACCTTTGTCATAACTATAAATAGTGTTTACTACGGAATCAAGTCAATTATTATGGGAATAAAGTTAGAACGTGATGGTCTAATTTATAATAAATATAACGATCTTATTATTATTTCACCAGTCATCATAGGAATTGTTATTGCGATTTTATTGGGAATTTTCGTCGTATCACCAACAATCACAATTTCTTTCGTAAATGTTGGGCTGGAGATGTCGAAGTTCGCCATTCTATTGATTGGTCGCTAATCCAAAGATTCGGACATTATTGATTGCTCACTATTCCAAGGATTCGGATATTTACTACTAGCGCACAATACACAATGCAAATTGCTTGAAATTGCTTTTAATGTAACCAACACCTGTAAATTGCTTTTAATATAACAAATACCTGTAAATTGCTTTTAATGTAACCAACACCCGTAAATTGCTTTTAATATAACAAATACATGTAAATTGCTTTTAATGTAACAAACACCTGTAAAATGCTTCAAACATTTGTAAATTGCTTGTAATGTAGCTACACACGATTAATTGCTTTATTTAGAGGATGACGCGGGTTTTGATTAAGAATTTTGATTCAATGCAGAATCTCAAAAATCTTGTATGAAGAAAATGCGCGTACCATTTACATCTCAGGTAAGTACTCCGCTTACATCTCGAACTTTAACAACATCCTAAGCCTCTCTCCTAAGCGATTAAAAGTGTTCAACTCTTCCCAGCTACCAAAAGAGGGACATGACGCCAAGAGATTATTAATTTGTTTTACGAAACGAAGTAAAACAAGGGATCCTGTGGGGTCTGAGCTACCTCTTGTTGGGTCAATAGTTGATAAAGCATTACTACATAATGTTTCAAATATGTATTCTTTCCTTTATAAAATTGCATAGGAAGTCTGCCAGAGTTTGGATCACGTTAATTAGAACTAACATCAGTAACATGTTTAGGCATAAAGTTCAGCATAAAAAAGGTGAAAATCAAATGGATTGCTACAACGTCTCGGGAATATAAAAGTATTATATGCTTCGTGATGAAATCGAAGACCCACCTTGATGAAAAATCAAGAGATAAATCATGTGAGATATGGTCACCCCTGCCTGAAATGCGCAGTACGATATCGGGAAAATTCTTGCCGAAGAATAGGGGCTGTGCGACGTGCGAATCGCATATATACAGTATATACAGTATATATTCGCTTAAACGAAATTTTACAACCCGTAAATACGAATATTGCAACTATGTTAAATAAGCAAATATAACGGGCATACTCACTGCGTATCTCAGTATGAAAAAGTGCCAGTGAAATAAAAGTTACTTAGCGAAGCGTCGGACGAGACATTAGACAATTAAGGGTAGGTGTTTACTTTCGGTTTAGGTTGAGCATTTGCAAGGAGGCGTCTTCAGAGCTTGTAACTAATACATAGTTCCCTTTCAAGGTTCACATTAGTGTCAGGATGAAATAATGAATATAGTGGGTTATTGGTGGTGGGTAGAACAGACACAATGAATAGGATAGACTATCATGATGAAGCGGGTCTCTTTAAGACCGGGGTATAGAAAAAATCGTCATGTATCATGGACCAATTCCCGCATCATGTAATTTATTTTTAGCGGTCCCTTTAGGACCAGGCTCAATGTATTGCAAATAAAAAAAAACGTTTAGGGTACTAAGTTAACCGAGTAATATCCCTTCGATTGTTATTCACTTAAGTAAACCCGAGAAACATCACAAAAATGGCCAAGGTGCGGTGTAAATATCACGTTCTTTTCAAAATTCTGTGGAGAACTCTTCGTAATAATGTTCTCCAATAATACTTCTCTTCTTTTTAACTTCCACCATAGCTCTCTCATTAGTTTCAGCATTAGCTTGCCCCTCTAGGACTGCTTCCGCATTAGCTACAGCTTCTTTAAAGGCTTTAGCTATCTATAATATCAAATCAGAGTCGAGTTAAGTAATATGATAATCATATCAAATGTTTTGGATATACTTACATAGTAAGCTCGGGTTAGAGCTAAAAATTTTTTATTACAATCTTCCCTGATGAAATAATTAGTATTATTTACTCGGTTGATTTCATTCGCAATATCTTCCCAAATGTTTCTCTTATTACGGTTTGGGGTTCGGTGGTATTCATCGTTCCTATTTTTATGTTCATCAATAAGCATTCGGGTTTGTTCTTCGCTCCACTGTGCAGACATCATTACGTTCAAGAAAGTTTTATAAAAAGTTTTGTGGAAAGCGAGGAAGAAGTGAGGTAACTGGACAAACTAAAAAAGGGGTCTCTTTTATATGTCATGATTTATGAGCTGGGAATAAATTAGCGTCAAGGTTGAAAAAAAAGTAACCCCGTAGACGCTTCGCAAAATGATGAATATAATGATGAATATAATGATCAATATAATGATTAATCAAATAATAATGGTGGCTTAGTTACTACACGCGCAAAATCTGATTAGCCGATCATCTCGTGATTCGAGTTGCGAGAAGATTGCGAGAAAGTGCCGGGAACTGCTTGGGAGCTAGGATGATATTTGTGATACGATATACGTCATAATACCTGTTAATCACGAGAATCTGCAAATCGATTATATGTTAAAATTAGCATAGCCGAGAAATATGACCCTATATAAATCCTCGGTATGCTTGTAATCGAATAAAAAAAAATGAATTTGGGTTTAACAGTATATAGTCTCGTTAAATCAGTTACAAATCGATAAAATCGCCATAAATTTGAATCATGATATTATCTAGTATAAGTTGTTAAAGAATAGCTAAAATTTGTTAAAAACGCTATAAATTGATAATTATGTCAGGAAATATTGTTAATAAACCTAGACCCAATAAATTCATTGATATTATTTTAGACAAGGTTTATAATCAATCTGTGCCTAAACCTGTCAATCTTCGTCCTGGATATGATATTGAATATATTAGAAACAAATATGGTTTTCCTTATCCTGATCAATTCGAAAAGATGATTGAGGTGGAAAAAAGATATGATAATTTATCTATTATTAGATTGTATGAAACTCCTCAGCAATGGGCTATTCGTGTAAAAGGCGCTTTGTAAGCATTGATTACTGAAGGCTATGAAAGCTATTATCATGTATTCTGCCTTTTCAGATCATCTGGGCAAGGAATAACCAAGACATACTATGATAACTACGAAGGGGGAGAAGTTGCCATTGGTTATCACAGACCTAATATTTACAATTACAAAATAGATATTTGCTTCGATTGTTGGAAATTAGTAAAGATCACTGATGAAAAACCAAAAAAGACATATTTCAGTGGATGGCGGAGATATAGGTATGAGATTAAACCTGAAGATTTGATGAAACATCATTGGGATAACGAATGCTTCAAGGCCAATAAACATATATCCTGAAAAAATTACACCTGATTCTCTATTTCCTGAGCAAACGGGCGAAATATTTATCTCGTCTCTATATGCAAAACAAAATAATTTACTACAATCTATAAACTATCTTAATCGACCCGCATTAAGATTAAAAGATGGGACAAAAGTCACGATTGTTTAACTGGTTTAACATATATAATTTATTTTTTGCGCTATATAATCTGTATGGATGATCGCCTAGTGAAATTAGCCAAAGGCGCTATGCATGATCTGTCTATTTTGGGTTAAATCTTCTAATCTATTTTAATAAAGTATTTTTTTCGAGAAGTTCAGGAAGATCAATGAAGCAATCTTGGGGATTCTTGATTGCGAGACAATACAACTATCAGTTTGAGAATTTCTATGCAGTAGTTATCCAACGAGCTTATAAGAATTACAAAAAAAGACCTGAGTCTTTGGCAAAACAGGTTTGGAAGGCGGTGAGGAATGATGGTACTCCTGACGATAAGAAGTTTTTAGATATTGTTCCTCGTGGTAAAACATATCATTTCATTAATGGAAAACTAATAGAATCTAATTATGTGAGTGA